TTGCCACCTGGAACTCCGCAGAGCTCCGCTACCATGTAAATGATAGCAACTGCTTCTGCTTCGCTTCGCACTTCGCACCCAACACAGCACTTTTGCGTCAGGCTTCTCACAAGCTCTGGTTGGTGTGAAACTTGCTCACGGCGAGTTGGACCACACAAGAAGTCGTTCTTCTTGGCCACAGCTTCTTCTTGTCGTCTTGACCACACAAAACACAAGCTTCGGCCAAAGCACCGTCCTCAACTACTTCCTGAGCCTACACAGCGAAGTCGTGCGCTTACAAGTCACTGCACACTGCTGCGTGAACCTTCTCAGAACAGTCACGCGCTTACAAGTCACTGCACACTGCTGCGTGAAGCTTCTCAAAACAGTCACGCGCTTACAAGTCACTGCACACTGCTGCGTGACGCCGTCTCAGCTGAAAGTTCAACTCTCTCAGCTTCTCAGCAAAACAAAACATGTGCCATGCGAAAACAAATTCGTGAAAACTCTGCTGCTGCTCTGCGCTGCCAAAAGCAAACCAAGTAACGGCGAAAACGACAGTCTGTTCCCGAAACTCTTTCAAACACTTGCACCTAACATGAAGAGGTGTTGATAGCCTCTATGGGCATCATTTTCCACACCCCCGGCCCCAGAGCTCTCAGAACCGTGTCTCAAAGTCTCAATGTCAGGTCCCTTCGCACACCCTCGAACTGCTTCCGATGCCGCGCGCGCCGTTTTGCAAGCACTTCGGAGCCTCTAAGATAACGAATTCTAGGCCTCCAGCTCTCAAAATCGACAGGCCCTCGAAGTAACGAATTCTACTATGTCTTGAAACTAGCCTCGTAGTTACCACAGAGTGAAACTGGAAACACCCTCTCCAGAGAGAGAAGTAGTGCTCCGTTGAGGGTTAGAGCCGATAACGCCTCCGCGGCACACGGAGAATTTTAGAATCACGATCCTCTCAACTGCAACGGAGCGTGGGGTGGGGAATACTCACATGAGAGTCTGCTTTTCGCACCGCGTTCCGCGTTTTTGTTGCGCGTTGTTGCTTCCGCGCTTGCAGTTTCGTTCTGCCGTTGCTTGCAGTTTTGTTCCGCGCTCTTGCTTGTTTCGCATTGTTGCTTTTTTCGTTCTGCACGCGCTTCTTGCTCGCTGTTTTGTTTCGCGCTGTTGCTTGCAGTTCCATTCCGCGCTTGCAGAGTTTCGTTCCGCGCTGTTGCGTTGCTTGCAGTTCTCGCTCTTGCTTGCAGTTTGTTGCGTTTTTTTCCCTTACTGTTGCGTTTTTTTTGTTTGCGCTTGCAGTTGCACTGCTTGCTTGTGCCTTTCACGCTTTGCTGGCCTCCAAGCAAAAACTGCCTAAGACATTGAGACTTTGAGACATTCCAGGTGGTTGTCTCAAAGTCTCGTTATCTAAGCCGGAGACTGAACAGAAAAAACTTTCAATTGCCTGGCCTGAGACATTGAGACTTTGAGACATTCGCTTCGATTCCAGGCCGGTTGTCTCAAAGTCTTATTGTCTCAGCCGGAGTGAACGGTAATAACTTCCACTTTCAATCTTGGCCTGAGACATCGAGACTTTGAGGGCGACGCGAGCTTACGCGCGCTTGTTCGGCGCGGAGGGCGTGGGAGCAGCCGGCGAGTGCTCGTAAGTTGCCAGCAAGTAGCTCATAAGCTGCTGGACTGCAGCTCTTACGTCGCTCGTAAGCTGCTGGCGAGTGCTCGTAAGTTACCAGCAAGTAGCTTCTAAGCTGCTGGGCTGCAGCTCTTAAGTCGCTGGTAAGTTGCCAGCAAGCAGCTTGTAAGTTGCCAGCAAGTAGCTCGTAAGTTACCAGCAAGTAGCTCGTAAGTTGCCAGCAAGTAGCTCGTAAGTTGCCAGCAAGTAGCTCGTAAGTTGCCGGCAAGCATCTCGTAAGCTGCTGGCGGGCACTCGTCGGCTGCTGGCAGGAGGCGCGCCCTTAAAGTTCCTCTAAAGCCCGTTTTGCAAAGACTTTAGAGCCCCTAAGATCGTCGAAGCTGCGGGCCGTAGGCCCGTGAATCGACAGTGCTCCAAAGTACCGAATTCTGACCTATGTCTCGAACTGAGGCCTGTAGCTATCACAGAGTGGAGTGCTGGAACACTCTCCCCAGAGAGAGAAAAAAGCCCTTGAGACAACTGAGACAATGAGACAATCGGTTGTCTCATTGTCTCTTTGTCTCTCTGGTCTTTCTCTGGCAAGAGACTTGTTCAAGCAGGCAACGGAAAACCCGCTTCTCTCAGCGCCTCTTGGTGCTGCTCGGTCGAACGAGCGTAGGCTTGCGGAACATAAGCTGCGAGTGCCCACATGCTGCCCTGGTGTGGCTCCACCATGTGATAGCGGCGAGCATTGAAGCTGACGGGCTTGTCGTGCATGTCCAGCCACCTGCCCCGCAGCTCCCGGTCGCCCCTCTTGCCGGCCAGCAGCGCGGTAGAGTCGCCCTCGTCGTCTTCGATCCACACCCGCCCCCCGGTGTAATCGCCGAGAGCGAAAGCATGATTCAAGTGCCCTGGCATGTTCTGAATGTCACGGTGCAGGCCCATGCGAGGGTTGAAAAGCACGGCGATGGAGGTCCAGGTGCCGTTCGGAAAGCGACTCTTCAAGAAGCGGTTCACTGCGGTGCAGGCCGCTCGCTTGCTCGTTGCGTTGGAAACACCGCACACACCCCCGTGCCCGAAGAAGCCCAACGTGCAATACTTCTCGAACGCTCCAGGCCCCACGACACGGGTGCGCACTTGATGCTTCCAGTCCGCCGACCACAGGTCCAACAGCCGCACGAGGTTGGCTTCGGTGGGCTCCTCCACAACATTCTGGCACGCCAAATCCATGTTTTTTTACATTGACAGCATTTATCACTCCAAACACGCATGCCCCTAAAACACCATGCCGCACCCCAATTTTTTCGGATTTTGAAGCCGCCCGGGGGAGGGTGCGCCCCGACGGCCCCCGGCAGCCGGCCGTTTTGCGAGTCGACCACGCCTCGGTCCATCTCCGATTTCGGCTGCCTCGCGCCTAGGTTTTGAGCACGACTTCGGTGGAATCGCCCCTTCCTTGTTGAATCGGTGCCAGCCAGCCCCGGAACGTGGTCGGGGAGGGTTTAGGATGGGTCGAACACAGCCACACGAAATCTCCGCACATCACGCGCGCCCTGCCTATGTTTCGCACACCCCCCTCGAGGCCAAGGCGGCTTTGCCGGGCTGCTTCGCACCGGATTGTGGTGAGTGCACGATTTTGCTCGCGAGCCTGTGGCTATCGTCGACCGGATCCGTGGGGGTTTAGGACGATGAGCACCGATTGGGGCCGTGGCCTTGCGGGACAGACCTGCTGAGACAAGCGAGACCACGAAGCAAAGCAGTTCTCGCAATGTCTCGCTTGTCTCCCTCGTCTCTCGGACGGGCCGGGCTGGTAGAAGGGATTTTGTCTCAATGCCCCTCTTTTGGGTGGCGGGGGCTTGCTTGGAGCGGCGGCATGTTCATGGATTTTTTCCTCGGTGATGCTATTTTTTGCTTTGTAGTCAGTAGTCTCGTTGGTCTCGCCGACTTTCGCAGTACCATTTTGTTTGAGTGCTTTCGTGTGTTTTTGTTTTGGGGTGTGGTTTTTCGGTTCAGGGCACCCTAACTCCGCTTCGTCACCGCAGTAGGTTTGATCCACAGCTGCCTTGTGAATGCTTTGCCGCCCTAGCCGCCCCGCAGCACCCCCATCTCTCGCAATGGGCCATGCCTCTCAAACTTACTGTCACCGCCGTCGCAGGGTCGTCCGAGCCGAGCGTCGTCCCTCGAGCTCATCGTCCGAGCCGAGTGCGCCGTCGAGTGTCCTAGCCGTGCATCCTCGCCGGGTCGCCGTCGTCGCCCGTCGTCGCCCGTCGTCGTCGTCGCCGTGCCCGCCCCCGCCGTTCGTCGCATCATGTGCCTCTGGCCACATTCCAGCAGAGTGCAACGAAGCCCCGGGCTCACCTGGCCCTGCATCGCCGGCACCGACACAACAGTATAGCGCTGACTCCGATGTCGGTTTTGACGACGCTGCTGAGCTGTGAACTGAGCATTGCAATGATGCTCGATCCTTTCAGTCTCTACTTACTCTACTTGTCTGTAGCATATCGCCAGGTATTGCGCGGTAGCTTCTCACACGCGAGGGTGACCGCCTTGTAGATCCCATGTTTTTCCTGTATATCGTCGTCTCATAGTTGAAGCCTTCAACATGATGGGCAATCTAGGCTCATCTCTGTCTCTGCGAGCCTTTTTACTGTACAGTATTTTGCTTGCAGGACAGGCGTCGAATTTTTCTTCATTTGCGTGGTCTGCTCTTCTTTTCTACTTTTCTAGTCAAGTTGCAATACTTGAGTACCCAAGGTAGCTGCTATGCAGCCGGACGCACACAGCTGCATCTGCTCATGTCACTCGAGATGGTCGCGCCGTCTGAGCTCGCAAAGCAAAAAATAGCGTCGGGCGTCGAAGGTGACGGGCCGATCGTGCATGTCCAACCACGTGCCGCTATTTTTGGGGGGCTTTCGAAAGTTCTAGCTTTGGGTAATGTCCTTCAGGAAGCACATTGCATTGCGTGCATCATCAACGCGGCAACTTCGATTCGCTGTGCTATTCATTGGCGGAGATGGAGTTACCAGCGGCTCTGCAACAATGGACACAGGAGACAGTCCGCGTCTCGTGGTCGCATCTACAACTTCCAGAAGCCGCGTGTGCAAGGCACGTCAGAAGAGATTTCTGGTTGAGCAATTTGTGCCAGTTTCAGAGTTAATGTGTGAGGTACTCGCTAGTTAGTTCCAAGAAGCCCGTGTATGATGTTTTGGTAGATTCCCTGAGTGCGCACACAAACACACCTGAAACTGAGGCTTGCATGTTCAGGAGGGCATTCTTGCATGCATTCTGTTTAGACTGCACATGTGACCTTGACACACATCGACCGCAGCTTCATCCAGACACATTCGATGCAAATTGCAACCCAGCAGCATGGCTTTCACACATATTCATTTTCTATACTTGAAGCCTTGCTATGGCTTGGGTGATCAGACAGCCGGCGTGCCAAAGCAGAACGTTCTGGCGGATGACCCCACAACTGGTCCTTCGAAGCAGCCACAGATACTGCAGCGGCCTGGGGAGAGGTGCCGGTGAGAAGGCCAGGCATCCCAAAGCTTCGTGTAATCGGTTTCTTCAGTTTGGTGCAGTTTCACCCCTGGAGGTTCGTACTGCACCAGCTGCTCCGCTTGTTCTTGATGTGGTGCACTACGTTCCGCGCTTTCCAGTCGACGAGGTTCTCCTCACTGACCTCCAGCATTCTGACTTGGTGTCCCCCTTTGGAAATTGGGCAATGAAACAGGACACAGGTGAGGAGCCTCCTGTCAGAGCCGACATTTCACAGGGTTTACGCTTGTTGGTGCTACTTCGGGTGACGGTGGAGAAGGCATCAGGGTACAAATCATCAAAAAAGACGTTCTTTGTGCCTTTCTTGGTGGACACAGGATGTCCACAGACCTTCCTTTGCAAAGCGGACTACGAAAAGCTTGGCATCGGCAATGCTAATAACACCTACATTGAAGGCTCTTTTGCACAGCCGTATGAGTCGGTGGGGCACTTTGAGGACATCAACTTGCTGGGAACCGACGTGCTCAGGAAGACCAACCTCTTTGTCGACTATCAAGCGGGCAAGTTGCATCTTGGTTTCTTCGAACAAGGCAGGAACTCCAACCACTTCGAGTTGCTCAGCCGTTGTAGGAGTTGATTGGCCATAACGAGATATAAACTTTTGGTGTTCTGCGAAGCTCTGCAGGCACGACCTCAACCTCATCCGTTTTCTGGGTGAGGGAGCTGATCCGCAAGGACTGTGCTGTCTGAGAGCAAATGCCGGTGATTGGAGCGCAAGGAATCGTTGACTGCATCAGCAGCATTCACAGTAGCTGAATCCAGGGTTGGGGCACGGCATGGCACGGCTGTTTGGACGCTCGCCGGGCGCACCGTCATCGGCGTGCGGCGGACGTCAATGGTGGGGGCACACGTCCGATCGCGGGCAGGGGAGGGGAGTTTCGGCTGTTCCTTGCTGGGAGTGTTTCTGCAACCTCGCTATCAATTCATGTCTGCCGCACCACTCGCCGGGTGCGGGAGCTGGCCCTGAAGGACGGCGTTGTGTGCGCATGCAGTGTTAGCCCTGTGGTGGAGTTCTTGGCCGGGCTTGGTGGGGGCGCGGGGCGTGGGGGAGGGGCTGGGCTCGGGATTGCTGGAGTGAGTCTGAGCGTCGACAGGGCATGGAGTTCTTGGCCGGGCTTGGTGGGGGCGCGGGGCGTGGGGGAGGGGCTGGGCTCGGGATTGCTGGAGTGAGTCTGTAAGTTTGCTGTCAGTTCATGTTTGCAGCGATGACCTTCGACTTGCAGGACAAACAGCTCACGGCCAGGCCCTCGGAGGATACCGGTTGTGGATTCATATGTTGTCCTTGTCGTCGAAAGCTGTGCATTCTCCAAGACGGGTGGTTTATTTTGTTCGCATCTCTTTTGAAAAGTTGCCGACCTACAAGTGAAGGTCGATGACGGCGAGGAGTTTGAGCCCACGGGCAATGCGTTCCAAGTGAAAGGAGCTTTCGCCAACGCCGCGACCTTAGCTGCGCCACTCAATCGATTGCCTCAGTACGTTTCTGTGTTTATGACTGGTTCTGCGCGCTTTTGGTGTGCGATGTCAGTTGGATGACCTGAAGGAAGCCATGCGCTCAGAAACGGGTTGCCTTCGCCCTTATACTTGAGCGCACATGGTATCTGAGTTCACTTCTGGTTGCTTCAGGGAATAAAGAACAAGGCGGAGCTCTCCATTCCTTCGTTCAAAATTGACATATACAGCCAGGAGGAGAGCTTTTCAGGTCAATCCCGCTCTCCCACCCTCCCTCCCTGTACCCCTCAGCTTGACGGCTTGCAGGATGACAGGAACTGGGTGAAGGAAGAAACGATGTCAGCAAGTCTGCGCGACACAACTGAGCCCAGCACTTGGTTTCGATGACTTTTCGGCTCAGGGTTTTTTTGCCGTCGCCCCGCTCGCAGGTCAGATTGCTACGGGTTCACGCTGCCACAAAAGACGGACGATGTGTAAGTTGCACGCGTGTGCCTCACAGCAGCGCTGGAGTTTGAGCGCTGTGAGCTTGCATCCTCCCTGTCGTGTGAGCTTCTCGGCTGAGGTAGCAGCAGCATTTACTGACGCTTTTTTTTTGCGCTGCGGCTTTGCTTGACTTCCAGGATTAGCAGTCAGCAGTTCAACACTCACATTCCTTGAGCAGGCTATGCCGTTCAAGTTTTCAAGTCAAGCGATGCATGCAACACATACAGGACCAGCGACAGATGCCAGCTGGTCACAAGCAGTTTCACGAAGGGCTCTTAGTCGTGCTTAAGTGCACAGGGGAGGAGCTAGGCGATTTTGATCACACGAGTCCGCAGTCAAGCTGAGCTCGGAAGATCCACCCTCCTTGCGTGGTTACTTGGGTTATTTAGCTACAGAGTCAGAGCGCAACATCAGATTTAGATACCTAGGGGACCTCCCCGCGAAATTAGGGTCGGTTCGATTCGATGCATACAGGTGTTTAACTTGTTTAAAGTCGGTTTTACAACTTCTCCCTGTTCGGAGACCCTAAATTCGCGGAAAGGGGGCGTGAGTGGGGCAAGGAGGGCGACCGGGGGGCTAGGGCCCGGTTCTGGCCAATTTGGATGATCCCAGTGCACAGGGGACGCTCCCGATGGAGGCCGGCCGGCCGACGTTGCGCAGCATTGAGGGTCTGAGTGTGTGCTCGTTGGTCAGTGGCTCTTTGTTTTCCTGGGACCGGGCGTGCGGGCCGGACCCGATCGCAAACACGAGGCACGCAGGACTGCTCGTGCCGTGATGTTTCGAAGCAGCTCCCGAGCAGGTCCATCCGATCAGAAGTCGCGGACGAGGCCACGTAGGAGTGCTTGTGTCGTCATGTTTCGAAGCAGCCCCCGAGCAGGTCCATCCGAGGAGAAGTCACGGACGAGGCCACGTAGGAGTGTTCGTGCCGTCCTGTTTTCGAAGCAGCTGCCGAGCAGGTCCACTCGAGCATCGGTCGTGGCCCGCAGAGTGCATGTTTGGGGGTTCCCCGGTTGTCCCTAAGCTCCTCCTGGAACCCGAACCCCCTAGAACCCTAGCCCGACTAGGCTGCCCTGCATCGTCCCTGCGCGTGTGTCTTGTCGGTTCCCCCGGTTACCTTAATGCCCGAACCTCTCGATCCCCGAACCTCCTAGAACCCCTAGCCCGATTAGGCTGCCCTGCAAGTGCTGAGCGCGCGTGTGTCTTGTCGGTTCCCCCGGTTACCTTAATGCCCGAACCTCTCGACCCTCGAACCTCCTAGAACCCTAGCCCGACTAGGCTGCCCTGCATCGTCCCTGCGTGGCACAGTGTGTGTAAGGTTGCCGGCTAGGGGGGTGTCCCCGGTTTAGGTAGGGCCGGTCTAGTTTCTTTTTTTTTTGGGTTGCCGTCCCGCACCCTAGCCAGAACCTCGTTTTTTTGATGCTCTGGATGCTCGCCGATGCTCTCGATGCGATGCTCTGGATGCTCGCCGATGCTCTCGATGCGATGCTCTGGATGCTCGCCGATGCTCTCGATGCGATGCTCTGGATGCTCGCCGATGCTCTGGATGCGATGCTCTGGATGCGATGCTCTCTGGCCCCAGGGCGGGGACCCACCCCCCTGAGACATTGAGACAATGAGACAATTGGCCCTGGGATTGGGGCAGGGCATCCTTCTGTATATCATTCCCAGGAGAGACCCCCTGAGACAATGAGACAATGAGACAACTGGCCCTGGGATTGGGGCAGGACATCCTATGCATATCATTCCCAGGAGGGGCCCCCCTGAGACATTGAGACATTGAGACAAGTGCCTCGATCCCAGGCTCGGTTTGTCTCATTGTCTCAATGTCTCAGGGGTGTCCCTCCTGGTGTCCGGATGTTATCAACCTCCACTGGTATTGAGGCGGTTGTCTCATTGTCTCAATGTCTCAGGGGTGTCCCTCCTGGTGTCCGGATGTTATCAACCTCCACTGGTATTGAGGCGGTTGTCTCATTGTCTCAATGTCTCAGGCGTGTCCCTCCTGGTGTCCGGATGTTATCAACCTCCACTGGTATTCAGGCGGTTGTCTCATTGTCTCAATGTCTCAGGGGTGTCCCTCCTGGTCTCCGGATATTATCACCCTCCACTGGTATTGAGGCGGTTGTCTCATTGTCTCAATGTCTCAGGGGTGTCCCTCCTGGTCTCCGGATGTTATCACCCTCCACTGGTATTGAGGCGGTTGTCTCATTGTCTCAATGTCTCAGGGGTGTCCCTCCTGGTCTCCGGATGTTATCACCCTCCACTGGTATTGAGGCGGTTGTCTCATTGTCTCAATGTCTCAGTGGGTGGTCTCCCCCGGTGTCCGGATGTTATCAACCTCCACTGGTATTGAGGCGGTTGTCTCATTGTCTCAATGTCTCAGTGGGTGGTCTCCCCCGGTGTCCGGATGTTATCAACCTCCACTGGTATTGAGGCGGTTGTCTCATTGTCTCAATGTCTCAGGGGTGTCCCTCCTGGTGTCCGGATGTTATCAACCTCCACTGGTATTGAGGCGGTTGTCTCATTGTCTCAATGTCTCAGGGGGTGGTCTCCCCCGGTGTCCGGATGTCATCCGGGCGGCGCCGTGGGCCCGAGATTGAAATCTCTCAGCTGCCGCACCGCCAGTGGCACCGGCCGCCGAGTCAGCCGCGCCTTAGGCTCCGCGGATCCGCGGGGCACCGGAAGCTCATGCTTCAGCAATGTCTCGGAGCCGTCCGTGGCCCGCACCGTCATCGAATCGTAGTTCGCAACCTCCCGCACCGCCCCGTACTGGGGCTGGAAGCTCCTCGCCGCATTGGTGGGGGCCCGGAACGCCCCCGCCTCCTCGAGCCGCCGCTGACGGCTCCTCGTCAACTCATCGTTATGTTTGAACTTGGCCGCGTTATCCTGGTAGGCCCTGAACCCTGCGGCCGGCATCGTCTCCACATCCTCCGGGGCCACCGTCACCGCCGCGTGCGGCCGGGCGTTGTAGGCCTCCGTCGCCTCGTCCACGTGCTCGCCCCACCCGCCGCCGTGCCGGGCCACCTCGCCCGCCAAATCCTTCTTCAATGTTTGGATGGCTCGGTCCACCACCGCGGTCGCATTGCGATCCGTCGGGTCCTTGTCGGTGCACCACGCCCCCCGGCAATGCCGCCTCCAGCCCCCGGAACTCGTTGCCCAGATCCGTGGTGACGACGTAATTCGACTCGTCCTGCACCAGCTGGGGGATGATCTCCGCCGCCGCCCGCGTCACCGTCGCGGCCGACTTGTCGGGCAGGGCCTTCGTGGCCACCTCCCGGGTGAACACGTCCGTGACCACCAGCCCGAACTTGTTCGGCCCCCGGGTGTTTTGGGCGAAATCGATGAGGTCCGCCTGCAGGCGGTCGTTGGGCCCCTCCGCCGCCGATTTGCCCAGGCTCCTGGGCTTGGGCGCGAGCACCTGCCGCGCCACGTCGCTGCGCAAGGCCGCCTGGGCCCGCGCACTCGTGAGGTCCGCCCGCCCCGGAAACTCCCGCCGGGCGATCTGAAAGAGCTTGCGGGGATCCCGCACGTTAAAGTACCGGGCCAGCTGCTGGAAGAGCTTGACGGCCTCCTCCTCTGCCATTTTTACGGGTGGTACGTTTGGCGCACCAGGTCGTCGGGCCCGTTTTTGGGCACACAAAGCTCCGGAAACCGCTATTAGCCCCGATTGCCTGTGGAAAGGCAACCTGGGCTAATAGCCCTTTCGGGGCCCAAAACGCCACCAAACCCGCTATTCTTCCAGGGTCCGTGCTGATACGGAGCCTTGAAGAATAGCCTGTTCGGGCTCAATCCGAGTCCTTCCGCTTCTTCTTCTTCTCCAGGGCTTCCACTCTCCTTTGGAGCTTCTTGACCACGCCCCAGAGCACCACGGAGAGCTTCTGGTAGTCGAGGGCCATCAGCTCCCGGCCGTCCAGATTCTTCGTCTTGCACATCGTGGCGCCCAGCTTGCCGCTGGCCTGCACGTCTTGGGCCACGAAGCCGATCTGCTCCCTGCCGCCGTCGATGCGGTCGAAGAGCTGCGGCTCCACCGCGTCGAAGGTCTCCTGCAGGTCCTGTTCGGGGATGGCCCGGACGTTCTCCTTGAGCGCCCGGTCGCTCAGGTTCACGAAGCCGTAGCCGAAGATGACCTCCCCGTCGTTGCTGCCCCCGATGTTCGGCTCGATGGCCATGTTGGCCAGCCCGGAGGTGTTGTTGAAGCTGATGAACTGCTGGAAGCTGTTGATTTGCACGCCGCCGCCCGACAGCACCACCAGCTCGGCCACGCCGTTCTGATTGTTGCTGTCGAGGAGCAACGAGGCAGCCCCCGTCGGGGAGGCGTTGCGGATCACCATACCCACGGTCTCGCCCGACCCTCCAACGGCGATCTGCTCCAGCAGCGGTGAAAGGACCTGCACGCCGCTGCTCCCGCCCGAGAGGGACAGGAAGGGCAGGCTGGCTTCGGGGCCCAAGACCCCGTTGACGCGGACGGTGTCGTCCAGTAGAATCCCGTTGGTCCCGCCCTGGACGGCGAGCCAGGGGGCCGCCGGATCGGCGCGCACCAGGGGCGCCTGAAGCCTCAGGTCGGACACCGAGCTGCTGCTCGCGAAGGTCCCCGTGGCAGCGGTGCTGCCAACGAAGAGCTGGGCGAAGTCCGCCGTGGTTGCATTCAAAGTGCGGTCCGAGCGCACGGTGATGTCTTGCTCCAGGCCGATGCTGCCGGCGGCGGAGGAGGCCACCAAGGTGCCGTCTTCGGCGCGGATGGTGCTTAGCGCGTTCCGGATCTGCAGGTCCGCCGCTGCGCTCTGCAGCAGTGGTGTCTGCACGAAGCTCGTGGCCGTGAGGCTGTTGACCGCGAGGTCCGCCGTGGGCTCCACGCCCGGGCTGTTCTCCAGGTCCGTGACCCTTTGGCCCAACGAGTTGAAGTTGGCGATGAGGGGGTAGCGGGTGTCGCTCTGGCCCTTGGACCAGCAGTCGCAGCTGATCTGCAGGGTCGAGCCGTTGCCCAGGATGGGCTGGGC